CTGGCCAGTACTGTGTACTAACTAAATGGTGTTGAATTTACTGTTTAATCAAGGACTTTTAACTGTTACCAGGATAAGAAGCTGGCTGGTTAAGCCGTCTAACTTGAATTAGCCTTATGTGTGGTATTGTTATGCAAATGAGCCAGATAAGCACAATCTGCACATGCTCAGGAAAACAAAACTTTCCTTAGCCACACCATGGCCACACTGCGTATCGGCTAGGCGTACAGCTAGGCCTACAGCTAGGCCTAGCCGAGAATTACGGTACAGTTAAAAACAAAGCAAAATAAGGGTACTAATTTCACTTGGCATGCAAATCAATCATACTTACACACTTAAAAACAAACTAGTCTACCAATAAAATCATCTGCAAGTTAAGATATAAGGCAAGTATGTCTACAAATCTGATTTTAAATTGATGTGAATAGGCTAGCCTAGACCCGGCCTAGGCCATGCTAACCGCTTATAAAAATGCAGAAAAAAGACCCAAAACAAATTAGAATGAAGTTATCAACTAACTAGTGCATTAAAATTAATCATATACTTACTACTTAGCTATATAAAATTAAAATGTATTGTTCACAAACGCCAATATTTGGATTTTAATACCCCTTTTCCACGAATCGGTAGACATCTTGAAGTGATGACAAACAGCCTAAGTCAGCGGTGCGTAACAAACAAAAATAAGATAAGCTAGGCCTAGCTGTTGTACGCCTGGCCGATACGCAGTGTGGCTAAGGAAAGTTTTGTTTTTCTGAGCATGTGCAGATTGTGCTTATCTGGCTCATTTGCATAACAATACCGCACATAAAAGGCTAATTCAAGTTAGACGGCTTAAACCAGCCAGCTTCCTATCCTGGTAACAGTTAAAAGTCCTTGGTTTAATATCTGTTTAATAATAACTGTTTCGTAACTTACAGGTACAACAGTTTAATAACTTAAGGATACTGTTTATATAGCTAATAAACTCTCAAGTACTATTTTCTTTTCAGGGATCAATATGTCAGCCTTACATGGCCCTACAGCAGCATGATCTCCTGCAAGATGTAAACGTCAGGTGCTTTCTAGTAGGTGCGACCAACATATTATTCAAGCAGAAAAAACATCTTCTTGATGTCATAGTAGAGGTAAGCATAACCTTAAATACTCAAGCAACATTTACCAAATTACCAGGCTAAAGTATAATTGATTAGTAATACAGTAAAAAAAAGGCAATTCAACAAAAGGGATACTCATCACTGCAAGGCAACACAGTGCAAGGTTACAGGCCATTGATCTTATTTTTGGCACCTACAACAACTTGAAAAAGTTTCAGAGAATGACAAAGTGCATTTACTGCTACTAATACAGAACTTCTACTGCTACTACTGTGCTTCTTTTAGAATTACTACTCTCGCCTCTCCATAGGAGAAGTGAAGGGTATTGCAATAGCACGCATCTGTGTGTGTGTCCTTCCAGACGCATAACTCAAAATCTCAGTCCTCCTCAAATTTGGTGCAAGTAAGATGCATTTATATATATATTTTGGCCACAATTAAAGACAGAGCCCCCTTGATCGGATCATTTGGCCGTGTTCAGCTAGTCCGAGCTGACCCAAGCGGATCGACCGCGGACCGGAGTGGGGGTTGTGTCAAAGTCCAACCGTTGTGAAAACTTGCCCAATTGATGGCCTTGCCACGCGAGGCCTACACTAGGCCTCATTTGGCTAGCAGTAGCATGTTACTCCAATCTTATTTTCAATATAAATTTCTTTTCTCATGCAGCCTGATGAAGGCAAGATGCTCATTCTGGACAATGATTTAAAGCGTGAATTAAGTCTAAGCACTGCAGATTTTCGCTTTGCTGATGTCATCGTGAAAAGCGTAATGGGAGACAATGATATCATGTTTGATGGAACAGGTATGCAAGCACATTTCATTGTAAATACGTAAATGCTCAAATAAGCGCCGCTCTCGAAATATAGGCCGCACCTAACCTGATTAATTTAGATAAGGGCTACTCTCGATTGAGCACCGCAGCAATTAATTGAGAGTATATATTACTCTTGTGTGTAATGGAACACTTTGAGAAAAAGGATTTTAAATACAACGTATACAGTGTTAAAATAAATAATTAACACAACGAAGACACAAGCATTTCTTTATAAACGTTTAGGACCTACTGTATGATAGGCCTACTGAACTACTAGAATATGTAAGATAGGTAACATGGGGAAGGGCATGGAAAGCGCTATGCCAATATTTTTTATAACTGCCGCTCTCGAATAAGCACTGCTCTCGAATAAGCGTCGCACTGAAGCCTCCACAGCGCTTATTCGAGCATTTACGGTATTTTCTGGTCTCATCGCCATCATTTTCAACATGTTAAGTTGTATGTCTATTCAAAATGGACATGAATAAAGAAATATTAAAGGATGAATTTTTTAATATAAAACAATTTTGAATAACTAGACTAACTTCAGCTAGATATGTGATGATGTCACTTGTCCATCCTACCATTCTATAATCTACCTCATACCCACTTACGTTACTTGTACATCTGACCTACTTACACTCATAAACCATATACCCTACTTGTACATCTGACCTATTTACACCCACGTATCATATACCCTACTACTTTTTTTTTACTCTGACCTATTTAGAGCCATGTACCATATACCCTACTTGTACATCTGACCTATTTACAGCCATGTACCATATATCCTACTTGTACATCTGACCTATGTACAGCCATGTACCATACCCTACTTGTACATCTGACCTATTTACACCCATGTACCATATACACTACTTGTACATCTGACCTATTTACAGCCATGTACCATATATCCTACTTGTACATCTAACCTATGTACAGCCATGTACCATACCCTACTTGTACATCTGACCTATTTACATCTATGTACCATATACACTACTTGTACATCTGACCTATTTACAGCCATGTACCATATATCCTACTTGTACATCTGACCTATTTACACCCATGTACCATATACCCTACTTGCACTCTGACCTATTTACATCCATGTACAATATACCCTACTTGCACTCTGACCTATTTACATCCATGTACAATATACCCTACTTGTACATCTGACCCTGTATACACCCATGTACCATATACCCTACTTGTACATCTGTCCTATTTACAGCCACGTACCTTACCCTACTTGTACCTCTGACCTATTTACACCCATGTACCATATACCCTACTTGTACATCTGACTTACTTACACCCATGAACCATGTACCCTACTTGTACAATCTGACCTATTTACAGTCATGTACCATACTTGTACTATGACCTATTTACAGCCATGTACCATATACCTTACTTGTACATCTGACATATTTACACCCATGTACCATACCCTACTTGTACATCTGACCTATTTATGCCCATGTACCATATATCGTACTTGTACTCTGACCTATTTACACCCATTTACCATATATCCTACTTCTACATCTGACCTATTTACACCCATTTTCCATATACCCTAGTTGTACATCTGACATAGTCACACCTGTGTACCATATACTATACCTTACTTGTACATCTGACATATTCACACCCATGTACCATATACTGTACCCTACTTGTACATCTGACCTATTTACACCCATATACCTAGCCTGGATTCCAGGCCCTAATTTTAGGTTACTCACTCTTTATTGCACTTAGTGCGCGCCATACCTAATTTAATTGGCGTCCCATACTCGATTTCTTTTTTTTTCGAATTAGGGCCTGGGCAAACGATTCATGCGTGCAAGTTCCCACATCAAATTTGATGTGGGATATCGTATGCATGACTGATTTTGTAAATCACGTGATTGGCTAACTTCATGCATATTAATCAATCTTCGTAAAATTTTCAAAATTGAAGATGCGGATGTCTCGACTAGAACAAGCTCCAGCTCCCTTTTGGCTACCTACTTGAATTAAAACAGTTTAATTAATAGTTCTGACCTGCTGAGAATGACATGGACTGATAACCGTAGGCTATACTAACCTTGCTCACCGCTAGCTGCTACAGATTTAGGCCTTCAGGGTAGAATATTGTTAAAAAGGTAGGCCTCTGTAAGTAAGAACTTAAAAATACGCCAAGCCTCTACTACTAGTCTAGGCTAGGCCTACTACTCCTGACTCCATCCAGACGAGGCCTGAGCCATCTTCCTGGAAAGTTAAAGTTTTGTTGTATTTGTATGGTATGCCATCAAGTCTAAGCTTGCCAAAATTAGTCTTACTAGGGTCTATTCTAAATATTTTAGGCCCGTTTTATTAGGGAGGACTATTTAAATTTAGTCATGCCTAACTAGTCGACGCGAGTGACTCAGTTTCGTGGCTCCGAAAATATAAACATTTGATTGGTTGAAATTGTTTATTTTGGTCCGCCCATTTATCCAAATACGGAATATAAGATTACGTCATTCTTTTGGCATCCTGGTGCCTGATTTCAGTGTTTTACAAGTCGCTTATTCCGTCTATCTCTAAATTAACTTTCTCTTTGGTGGCATTGTCCAGAATGAGAAAAATAATAAAAAAATAAGAGACTTGTGGCAAGTCTACCATATACCATATATTGTACTTGTACATCTGACCTGTTTACACCCATTTACCATATAGCCTACTTGTATATCTTATCCTTCTACATCACCCAAATACTTGAACACCAAATCCTATGTATGTCTACTGGTACATGTGATCTGAATCATTGGATATTTTTCGTTATTGATAATTTTTTTTTTTAAATATAGGATGGGAAGGAGGCAATGAGTGGATAAGGTCTCAGTTCCGCCAGTACATGATATCGCTTCTGGCATCCTGCCTAGAACCAGGTAACTATTCCAACAATATACTGTGTAAAATTCAAGGCCTGTGTATTTTTTTCTATGCCAAAAAGTTTTGTTCACTTCACAATTCTTAATAAAATGGATAATGACGATGATGATGACAACACTAATGATAACAACAATAATCATAATTCTGATAATAATAATCAGCAATAACAAACTGTAACGTCAGTAACAATAATAGTAACAGTAACAAATACGATACATTATTATAATAATAATAAATATTAATAAAATAGTATAGAGATAAGCATCTCAGTAAAATCAGGAGTCCCAAGTCTACCGCAAGTCGCGGGAGTCTCCCAGAAATTGTACCAGCCTCCCGCCAGCAAGCAATAATCTCCCGGAAAATAACCCATCTCCTGCAAATTATTAAATCATAATATTTTGCATCTTTTTACTACTGTATTATCAATTTTCTCACGGAAATGAGTTCCAATTTGTATCACCTTGCACATAAAAATAGAATTAAATGTTTTAAGAAAGCTCATTTATGCAAATCTCATAGAACCAGCCAATTCTATATCACCTCTCAGGCGATTGCCAACTGTGCTAGACTGCCTTGGTTGACAATTTCTGTCCCCAGTGTTGTACTTTCTTTGCCCGAGGAACCTAATAATTAAATGATCAATAGTTATTGTTATTGTGATAGAATAGACAATAACTGGATTTGCGCCTGAATTCAACTTTGGCCATCAGGCGCAAGCTCGGTGGTCTAGAGGTATGATGCCAGGCTAGTGATCTGGAGATCGTGGGTTCGAGTCCCACCCGAGAACAACTTACGATTTTTTTTCGCAATTGTTTTCAAACATACTGAGTATTCAGTACATTTCCACGTCAGGTAGGGCAAAATTACACCTATAAATGATCAATCTTTTGTATTTTTAACAGACAGTGAAAATCATACGCATGACTTCAATGAGCATTTCATCGAGGCTTGGAGAAAAACACACAACTACCAAATTTGGAGAAGTAAGACTCACAGTGGTATAAATAGCCAGTTAGCAGGGTATGTAGTATTACAATCTCTTACATACATTAAATCTTGAATGTATTTATCTCTGTGTATCACCATGTAGCTTGCTTGGAAATGCTTATAAGGTATAGTCACGACTTGGGTTATCTGCTCTACCAAAACCCTATTGTGAAACAAGCCATATTCAGTATTTTTAGGTCTTCATGTTTTCATAATTTCCAAGAGAGTAAAAGTTTTCCTGTAAAGGTAGGAGAATAACCCATAACTCGCAGTGTCGTCCGTGACTACCTATTGGCCGTAAAGAGGCGCTTATAGTAGCTTCATGTTCACATTATTTCACAACATTGGCTGAAATGAATCATAGTATCAGGGTAACCCCCTACTCTTCCAAAAGATGCAGTGTACACAAGTCCAGTATACTGGACTTCCATTTAACGTCTTTTCCGAGAAGACTTGGTTCTACCAAACGAACGTGGGTGAGGAGCGGCTCAAACCAGCACCGATGTTAAGGCTGTAGTTAACAGTGCCCCCGCCTTACTGTTCGGGGACTCGATTTGCCCAAAGTTTATACAACTTTTTGCCAGAAATGCAACCAAGCTCTCAATTCACAAAAACATCAGTGGCAGTTATCTTCACATTTTTGGAGAACACAAATTAATCTTGGCCTCTATGTACTTTGGAGAGTGATGTGTTCAAATTATGTTCATCATCACACACATATGGAAGTTATCTCCAGGCGAGCTTTGTTACCACAACAAGAAGAAAGCACAAATACAAGTTTTTACAATGATCTGACACTGTGTGACATGGCGATGGGTCTGGTCACATGTCTGGTCATGTCATTCCTGATGCTCATCGCTATATCAGCCATTGTTGGCTGACATAGCTAGTCCCTTCTGTTTTATAGACCTGCTAAGCTCTGCCTCTGGGATATTGTTGTTAAGGTCAATGACAGTGTTAAAAACATACACAAACATCTGCGTGTTAGACATGCACACATTCTTGGCCCTATTCTGATTGGTCAATTGTTAACCAGAAAAGTCTATTGTATAGAAAGTTCATGCTTGCACATAGTGTCCTGGGCCTGATAAAACAAGTTCTAGTAATCTTAAAAGCTCAGCTAACGGTAACAATTTGTAACTATTCAAACATAGTTATTTACTTATGTTTGAATAGTTACAACTGGTTGCAGTTGTAGCTATTTACTTTTGTTTGAGTAGTTACAACTGTAACAAGTTGTAACTATTCAAACGTAAGTAAATAACTGTGTTTGTATTTTGTTTCTTCCAGTCATCCATGCAAAGGGCAGTTGGGGGTAGCAGACATGAAAATTAGATTACAAAGGTAAGAGCAACAATACAAATAATTTATAATGTAATATTGCCACTGGTTCACTGATTATAATAATAAACCAATAATATTTAACTATCGTATTTATTCAAGTAAACGCCCTAGGGCATTTATTGTTGAGAAGGGTTTTTGAGGGATAGTTTATTTAAGGGAGGCGTATATTTGAGCAAGGTATTTATTTATTTTTTTTTTGGTTAAAATGATATGTATGTACTCAAATAAATGCCCTTTAATTTCACTGTAAATGACAACAACACATAATTACTGTCAAAATGTGTTGCATTTAGGGGGCATTTATTTGAGGTAGGGGCTCATTCCAAACAAGCAGGTATAATGAGGCTATGAGGGGCATTTATTAAAAGCAGGACGTTTATTTAAATAAATATGGTAATGTTTTAACAAGACGTGTTGGTAGAAATCATGTTAAAACACTGTTCTACAAGATACAAGATTAATTTATTGTGCGCAACTCGAATCACATAAGATTCAGGTTACAATAATTTCATAAGAAAAGAACGTAAACAAGGAGCAGGTTACATAAAATAAATATGATAAGAAAACAAGCATATAACATTTGGTAAGGTATGGCATATGTAATTATAAAAATAAGTATAATATTACATTCTCAGATTCGGACATTGGTCATTTCCATTTCGGTAAACCATTGCATCTTGCATGTTAACGAAATAGGCATGATAAAAACTAAACAAATAACAAAGGTTATAAAACTCAAGGACATGCAGAACAAGATTGAGTACTTGACCCTAATACATAGTAACCTAGATCTATAATGAAACTCCTAAAAATGTTGCTTAATTGAGGAAGAGCTGATTCCATATTTGAAATTTTGATTTAACAGTCTGAGGCTTGTCATTCTAAAACCAGCGTACTGTCGCCAAATGTTAAACTGAGTAAATAGCATACGAATGTAGCAGTATTGTATACTTTAGTACAGAGAATCCGTAATATTTTTACTCATAATTTAATATTAATAAGTCAATTCCCGTAAATTGTAACTTTTTTAAATAATTTTATTGAAATTGTAAGGCTCGCATACAGTTCGGCCTTTAGGCCACGACTTGTGACTGCTTTTAATGTGGATGTTGTGATGAATAAAAGTGAAATGAATGAATGATGAATGAAGTGACCTATTATGCTAACGCTTATAATTTGAAGAATATGAATATATTTACAAGTAAATTTTCTTATTTTGGTCACTGATACTGATTTTGGCATGGCAAGCCCCATATAGTTACTTGAATCTTAAATAGATTGGATCCTTTCTAAAGCTATCAAGTCTTCTGCGACAAATATCTGGTCTGCTTATAATTAGCATGATGATTTCATGTCACACTCATACAACTCTCATAAAACTTTCTGATGTGGACAGATTATAAAAAATTAATAGACTTTCTTAATGCATTGTAATTTACACGAAGTATTTGTTGTTATGTCTGCTAACAATCTGTATTCTAAGGAAATGTATTAAAATATGTAATGATATATAATAATGATGATTTATTGTATGATTAATAACTATAATGATGTGAACAGTTTTGATACATTTTAATAATTTGTTTATTGTCAGGAATGATAATGATTCGTTTCATTTTCATTGTTTAAACCTTTGCTAAATAATAATATCAATTTGTTCAGAATATGTATATGGCAGGTGAATCCCATTGGGAATAGGAGTTAATTTTCCTTTATAACCTACTATCTCTATCTTAGAGTAAAACAGAATAAATAATAATAATAATTAACAATGATTAAGATAATGAGTTAGGTGATACTGACAAAATATTGACAATGATAATAATAATAACAATAATATAATTAAATGTAGATGTGAATGATATTGAAAATGATCCGGATATTTTTTATCATATCCACATTGCTAACATATTGTTTAGTACACAGGTATCGATTGCCTCAATGGGCATGGCTCAATCTATAGCCCAAAAAGGATCTCCAGTCTGTGCTATGCCTAGAAGCAAAGTCAAATGGCATTATACAGTATACGGATGACCTGTAGTTCTAACCATGATCACAAAAATAGTGGTCAGTACTTGTGATTCAAGTTTAATATGAATGAATAAGAAATCAAATAAGATGATGAAGATGATTGTGATGGTTTTGTTTGTAAGATTATTGTTTATGTCAATTTCTTGTAGTGCAATGCAAGCCAGCGAACGTGGTCGTAAAATCAACAACGCTTTGAGTAAAACCACAGTAGCAATCAGCAATGCTCGCTCAGCCATGTCGTCATGGTTCACCAGTTTGGCCCAGGAATGGAAGGAGGAAGATGCTGCTGATGAGGGAGCAGACAACACGGATTTCTCAAAAACACTGTAATTCAGTGTGTAGTTCCAGCCAGAATCACACTAAACACATCATAATAACAGTGTGCATTTGTTTTGGCGCCCATATCCAACATAGAGTAACAGTGTACGTTTGTTTAGTGCCCGTATCCAACACATCATAATAACAGTGTACATTTGTTTAACACCCGTATCCATCAAAGAAGATACCGTAAAACTTCAAATAGAAGTCCTATGAGCTTAATCTTGAGAAGAAGCCTATCTTGAAAGGAAGCCCCTTCTTTAGTTTGCAAAAGTACGCTTCAAAAGATGCCAATCTAGAAAAGAATCTCATGAGCTGGCTTCTATTCAAGATAGTAGGGGCTTCTTTTATTATAGTAATTCCCAAAATTTACAGCATTCATTTTTAAAAGAAGCCCCCACCTCCCACCTCTTTACTTTGCAAAAGTAGTCTCTAAAATTCTATTTAAGGTTTTACAGTATCCATGGTGCTTGATATGTGGACAAGTAGCCTGTTCAGTGCACACTATATCTCACATTCTTAAAATAGACTTGACTTGGACTACGACTTCGTCGCTCAAATACCCACTAGCTTGCTATGAACGCAGGTCAGTTTTATAGCCAACTAACTTGGGCAAGATTAATAATGTTTTTCAATATAATGAAATGATCGTAAATAATGAGGATAATTATTTTTTCTGTATGAATTGTGATAAAAATTTTCTATTATTATCTCACTATTTGTTAGTTGCACTAGAGGAATCTTTATAACGATTAAATTTTTACCAAAGATATAACTATACATGTCTGGTCAGGGAGATGAGTTTTGATTTTTAAGTGTAAGTGTAGTTACAAGAATATGATTGTTAAATGCTGTCTGAAGCTTCATTCGCAGTTAATTAGGAATAATATAAGATTCCACTTTTGATCAATAGAACAGTAAATTATTGTAAATAGTTTTTGACAGATACTTGCGTGCTGTTGATTTTTTTTTGTGAGATAAATGAATTTAATTGTTTTTTCTATTTTGTCTTATTTGAAAATTGAAAAATTTTGGCTGGGCCCATTCAATTTTACATTCAGCATTAATTTTCTGATGATGAGACGGTGCTTTCCTTTTCTTCAACACAATGTAATGTTTGTAGTACCACCATTATTATTGTAGAAGTGGTTTGGCACGGCAGGAACAGTTTGTTTTCACTTGAAGTCTGGGTTTCCATCCCTCGCTGTGCATTTCACTTGTGCCCTTGAGCAAGGCACTTTATCTGCTTTGCTTCTCTCCACCCAGGAGTAAATGGGAACCTGGTGGGATTGCCTGCTCCTGCACTGATTACCAGCAGCAACACTTAAACATGTGGACATAATGGCAGGGGTCAAAAGCGCTTCATATCTGCAAACCAAGGCGCTATATAAGTAACCGAATAATGATGATAATAATGTTTATTATAAACTCACTTTGCAGCGCTTATTCTGCACTACCGAGCTCAGATAAGTTGTGTAACCCTAAAGGTTGAAATTAATTATGCTAAATATATGTTAATAGAAATTCCTCTCTGTATCTTTATTAATTTTTTTAATTTGATTATTTAATTGATGTAAGCACTGACACTTGTGTTTTATATATGCATATATGATATTGTGTATACAAAATGATGTAAATATTAGCGATTTTAAAGCTGTCATAAAAGTAAATTTTATTTCATTAAAATCCAACAGTGATAAAAATTACTTGATTGTAGGACCACATTAGAAATAAGTTTACGTTTAAATGCCTGCAATTTTTGTAATTCTAGAAATTATTTTGTGATTTTATTTTAAATCTTGTTTGTGTGGAATTTCTGAATAAACAATGAAGATAAATTAAAGGTATGTGTATTAGTAGAGCATTAGTAGAGCAAAAATCTTTGAAATTTCCATATTTCCACTTATTCTTTTTTTAATATATTTTTATGCTTTGGTACAAATACAAAAGTACAATTAGAAAATAGGTTACAGTAAAACCTCGAAATGAAGCCCAGTGGGCTTAATCTCGAGATGAAGCACATCTCGAATTGAAGCCCACCTCTTTAGTTTGCAAAATTAGCTTTGAAAAGAAGCCCATCTCAAAAACCATGGGCTTTTTTTCAAGATGGCATAGGTGGGCTTCTTTTCAAGATGGCAAAGGTAGAATTCTTTTCGGGATAGTACAGTACACTGTGCATGAATTTCTGAAAACAAAATAAATTAAAAACAAGGTACTATATAAAAACACAACATATGTATTGATTGTGTTCCTGTGTGGTAGCACATGTTTAATTTATGAAAATATAAATTAAAAATTTACACATATTTGATAAATTGCATGTAATTGAAAACAGACGATTGCAACAAACAATAATACTCCAACTATATTTAAAATTTACAATAGTATGCCTCAGATAAAAATACTGCTTTTATATTTAGTAATATTGTTCTGTGTTTCTAAAGGTTCATTAGAAAATTTTATTTTCAAGTTAGTATTAGTATATTATTATATTTAATGCTTGTGATAGACCACGTAGATGATTCTGAAAAGAACTGTTGTTTGTTGAGGCAAATAAAATTATGAATATGAATTATAAAGGTCCATTCAAGCAAAAAAAATTCTGCATTGTTCTCAACAAACAACAGTTCTTTTCATAATTACATATGTGGTGTACCGCAAGCATACATGTATGATTATTTCGACAAGGTCTATTATCATTAGTATGGTACCTGACACATGTACAAGGAAGATTTCCCTTTGTTAAGTACCATCTCATGTGAGGCAAATAAGATTATGAATATTGATTATAAGGTTCCGTTCAACCAAAAAAAAAAAATAAATCTGCATTTTCCCCTTAATATATACTACTGAAAAGCACCTAAATGTGTAGTTCTCTACTCATATATAACCGCATGTACTGTGTTAAAATTATTTGTGAAATTACCATTATGTATATTTCGTTTTTTTCTATATATATTATGTATTTGTTTTTGTTCTAGAACAATGACTACTATAATAATTAGTACATATCTCCCTCCAATTACAGACCATTTTTGGGTCTGTGGTTTCCCATGGTCTTTAGCAGCTTTGGTCTCTAATTAGAATAATAAAGATAAGAGACATTAGTTAATGGGACCACAGAAAAGTGGTTTTAATTGGAGGTTGTCTTTAATTGGATGGGTCTTGATTAGAGGGAGACATGCACTTAAAATAATTATGTATATTGTCATATTTACAATACTTTCGTTATAATAATTAGGTGGCATTGTACAGCATTGTTATTTAAATTAAAATTTATTTTTGAACAATCAATATAATGTACTAAGTGATTTATTATTGATTAAATGTACCCGCAAAAATAACTATATTTCTTTTATCAAATTAGTTTACTTCATAAAAGTCACTAAAAAATTGGGGTTTTTTTTGGTTTTTTTTTTTGGTTTTTGTTTAGGCCTAATAACTATAGGACAGTATATTATTTTGCGTTTTGTGATTTTTAATTTTTATTTGTAAAACGCAAGTGAATATAAATAGTATTAGATACTATACTTGCATGCATCACTTTTTCAGAATGATGGAATTGTTTTATCTCATTTTTCCATTGCCTTATCGAACCACTTGGCATAGGGAATATTCATTCTACAGTGTATACAGAAATTTGAAATATAGGCTATGACATATTTCTGGGGTCGGATATAGAATATTGCGGTAGGGGTGCGTGAGAGTCCACACCACCTCAGCCCCACCATGGTTGGGAATGAGGTACGAAAATATAATATGTGGAATATGGAACTCTAGGTAATTCATAAAAATAATACAACAGTTATTTTTCTTAATAAAATGTAGGAAGGTGCAATTGCATCGTCTGCCCCGCATCCGCCCGCGTATCTGGATGGAAGCGGTAGGTAGTGGCAAGCCAAACTAATACCACATTAATATGGTGCATGCAATTAATTTAATTTTGTTTGCTGCCACCTATCGAATGGTTAATGTTTAAACCTTCAAATTTCAAATGGTGTGAAGATAGTCCACACTATCAAATTGTGTGTGATAAATTCATGTAATGGCATGCCCATATATAGGCATGATGATATTATGGGCTTGTCACATAAAATATGATAGTCTAGACAGAGGTTTAGGGTAATAAGCTAATTTTACATGGACACCTGCCCCTACTTCCTTTGCTGGAACTTAATACCATTGTTAGTGAGATAATGAAATTCAGACAAAAACCATAAGCAATGTGCACTTATCTTACGCAGGCAATTGGATCGCATCATTTCTTCAATCCAATATTCTGATCGACTAGCTGCTTTACCTGATTTTGGACAAACTATAATATGTGCCCAGTGGGCGGTTCCAGAATTTTTCAATAGTTGCAAAACGCGGGGAGGGGGGTGATAAGTGTAGCATTGAAATACCAACTACTGTTGTATTTTGATATTTATTGTGATGTTTTTATAGGTGAATATGGATAGTGAGAACCTTTGATTTATTTAATCTGTTCAATTTTTACTACTCAACAAAACAAAAATTAAATATCAGCAGTCATCGCAAAAACAGTGCAGGGCCGTCGGAACCGCACCAGCTTTATCCGGACCACATTTTCTCATACTTGTATTACTTGCCTATACATTATATAAATATAATAATTTTTGCACCACAATGTCATTTCATATTTACATAAATATTCACCCACCATTTGCGTGTTTAGTAGTCAGGGGCGGATCCAGGATTTCTGAGTCAATCGAGGACCGTAAGTCCGAGGTGGGGGGGGGGTTGGTTTGGGATGGTGGCCTTCCCTTTCATAGGCTGGGGGCCGGGGCCGCCAAGGGCCGCCCCGTTGGGGGTTCCAGGGGGATTTGTCTATTTCGCTTATCTTAACAGTTTTAGACGGTTAAAAGGAAGCAAATACATTGCATAGACACAGTAATATGGTTCACTGGGCATTAACGATACGAGACCATGGGGTAGGCCTTTTTTTTCGATAAAGTATCTATAAAGTTTACCGTATATACTCGCGTATAAGACGATCGAGGCTTAAAATAGTAAGTTACGATCGGAAAACAGTGGGTCGTCTTATATGTGCGACAGATCTCTGTTCAACCCTTTTTGTTGTTTCTTGTCGAAATATTTAAAATAAAATAAATAAAATGCACGATGAACGGATGATGTAATAATGATGTTCAACATAGAAAGGATGATAAATGAAACGTAGGCCTATACTGTACGGTGAGTACAATGTCCAAAACTGCCTAGACCTTAGACAATGGACTAATCCTTCCAGGCAGCTCCCGTTTCACAATACGGCGAGTCCGAAAGCTGCCTGAACCCATGATAATCGAGCGACTCATCTTCCCAGGTAGCTGCCCGTTTTCATTTCTACAATCCTGTTACTAATTTTAATAAATACATTATGTGAATTTATTATTAATGCTTGCATCACATTGTCTTTTTAATGTTATTTAATTCTATATTTTTTTAATCCACCATGCCCTTGTTTTTGCATTGCCTATGCATACTTCATATTTTTTTAACAATTCCTTAATTTAGCATTTGATTTTGAAAATGTTTGGAGGTATAAATATAAAATAACAATTAACTATTACAAAATGTTTGGGGTTGGAGCCGGCCAAACTTTCACCATGACATAAAGGTACGTGGTCAAGCCGGTGCATGGTTACAGTATATACTTGCAATCACAATTTTAACCCTCCCCAGGAAAATAGCCCATCTCATCTAAATTGATAATATTTGCATGTTTTCACTGCTGTTTTCAATTGTCTCACGGAAGTCCATGCTGATGGGGTATCACTACGTCTATCAAATTTTCTTTGAAAAAACTGATGTATGTCCATATATAATCATGATGTGCCTATATATGTTCATAATGTGATGTCATCATGACCATATTTAGGCACATCACATGAAACAAAATGTGATGGTGAGAAGGATTTAGTTATAGCAAGAGTGTTTGATTGTTGTAAACACCATTGACTTCTGCATTGTGGTCTTCATATTCCCAGTACAGTAGTGCTCATAATCCTCTTCATAACCATTTTCATTCTTATATCCTGTTCATACCTCACATTAAACCAATGCAGCATCTCTGAAGTTAAGAGTTGGGGTATTGGAGTTGTCATTTATAGTTTAATAGGAAGGTTGTGAAGATACAATACGTAGCAGCCTTATTATCCTCATCATCACCATCGTCCTTAACATCAACTACATCATCAATTCTTTTTAATATTGTATAACCTTAAAACTGGATGAAGACATTAATCATAAAAGAATGACAGTATTGATAGCTTCTGAGAAATTAACAAATCTGAAACACTTTTTCAAATTGAATTACAGTACATAATTTTTTTATTTCAAAAATAGTGCAAATTTTAAACACTGCAATTGATAATCTAAACAATCTATAATTATATATTCAGGAAAACTACCATTTACCATTTCATAAAATAAAAAAAAAACCAAAAAAAAAAAAAACTGCTTTACTAAATATTGAATTTTCCAATAGACATGAATTGTAATATGTTGTTGATTTTTTTGCAAACCATTTCTATATAAGCAATACAGTACTGTAGTTGCTGAGCTCATCCCCCTGAGAGGATTGTAAGTGAACAGAGCAGAGGCCGCCCATATCTCAGAAGTCCCAGTGACATACAAATGGTCTGTAAAATATGCATAAGGGGAGGGGAATGTCTACATAGATGGTGAGTTAATCATGATTCCATGTTTTATTTACAGTACACAGCTGATTACTTTTTTATGTTTTAATACACGAATATACAGGGTGTTCCTAAAGTCTCAATAATAATAATAATATGTCGTTCTTATATAGCGCTTAATGCCTTAACAAAGCCTCTAAGCGCTTCACATTACTACCTCGGTCATTGGATCAAACATGGAACACATTGAACACCAAATTTAATTATTAAGTTATATTATATTATTATACCATATTGCGGCTAGTAATCAGCGCAGTTGTGTTGGAACCTACCAGGTACCCACTTGTACTCCTGGATGGAGAGAGGCAACCGTAGATAAAGTGCCTTGCCCAAGGACACAGGTGATTTGCACAGTGAGAGTTTCGAACCCCCGACCTCGAGGTTGGGAGTCCAAGCCACAACCGATGCGCTAACCGCTTCTACAATACCTTTTCAAAGCTTCGTATCTTCAGTATAATAATTTAATAATGTAAACTTGAAAACATATTTGGATAGAATAAGCCAAATTTTCAAACCAAATCAGTATCAATAGGGATGCTGGCATTCAGTGTCGAAAATGGAGTCTGAATTTAGGCTTGAATCTGATGTGAATACAGCTTTAATAGCCTTCATGTTTGCCATTTTTTTTGTACGATAACCATAAAGTTTATTGTATCTTATCTTACCACTGTACCAGAAAAACCTTACCACTGCGCCACATAAGTTTTACCACTGCACCACATAAGCCTGAACACTGTGCCACATAAGCCTTACCACTGTGCCACAATTCTCACTACTGCTTCACATAAGCCTATACACTGTGCCACATAAGCTTTTACCACTGTGCCACATAAGCCTATACACTGTGCCACGTAAGCTTTTACCACTGTGCCACATAAGCCTATACACTGTGCCACATAAGCTTTTACCACTTGCCACATAAGCCTTACCAATGTGCCACATAAGTTTTACCACTGCGCCCCATAAGCATTACCACTGTGCCACATTGGTTTTACCAATGTGTAGCATAAGTTTTTAACCATTGCGCATTATGCTTTCACAGCTACAATGCTTCCGTCGTCATTCAATGTTACTGATCCAACAGTACAGTAGTTGATTGGATTATATTTGGGCTCAACAGTTACTACTGCCCTCTAGTATTTCTTGAGTGCTGAGGTTGTCATCAGGCATATAGGCATATTCACCATCTCATCAGTGCTTGAGAACCATGAATGCTGAGCCAGGGACGGGTAGGGCTTTTAATTTTGGCGAATCATCAATTGGAATGAAGTGCTAAAATGAAAGCAAATAAAAAGTATGACAATTCAACATGGTCAGGCGATGTTCAAACTATTTATTGTTCAACACGTTCCGAAGGTTCAACCGATGTGAATAGTAAATGAGGCTGACTTGTTCGAAAGTCATGCTCGCCTATGTTTCTAGAGGTGGAACTGGTGCATGTGCACTTAAGAATCCAGTATATCTTTCGAGATGAGTAAGGGGTTATCCTGGTGTATTGGTCCATACAGCCCCTGTTGTAGACAGATGAGCGTAGCTGGCACCGGTTTACCGGTAGTTCGAATATGAAGAGCCTTTTAGGGAAGAAAAAACTTTAATCTGTACGAGCTAGTCCACGCTTCAAGCGCTTTGAGACTCTGGTGTAAAGCGCTATATAAATCCAACTATTATTATTAGTATTATTATTATATGTTAGTAAAACCTACCTTAAGGGGAACTTACACAATTGAGAAATTAGAGAACAATTTAAAAAACCATGTTGTTAAGGAGAAAATAACAGAAAAGATATTCCCCTTAAGTCCGATTTAGATTATTGATGTCGGGAACCGAATTTTATTGTTGTTTATTTAATTAGAACTACTTTTTTTACATAAGCACACGCTTGATTAATCTGTGAGTGCTGATTATAAGCGCAGTGATTTTTCGTAGAGCATCTCTGTTCTGTGGCTTAGCGCGCGACTTGCGAACACAAGGCAGTTGCGGCTCCGTTTTGCATGAGGCAAGACGTATGTGTAGAGACACTGATTGATTCTGGTTACTTCTGAAGAGTAACTGTTGTCTGCATTTGACTGGTATGTATTAATCACTATAATTTGTATAATATTATAGTACAGATATACTAAGTTATATCAAAGTGTAATTATTCATTATATAGTGTAATTTAACGATATATTTGATGCTAGCCCGATATTAACATCGATGTTCTATACAATACTGCATAGGCCTAAGTTGTACAGATTAGTTTGGATGTTAAAGATTATGCACTGATTTAGGCAAATAGTTAATGATGATTTACCATGAATGCTTAGTAAAATGTCAACTTGCTTCACTGATAATTGTTGTTATAATGTTCTATAATAATGTCTGCGGTAGAACGAATTCGTAATGTAGGCTTGTAATATGATAACCTACGCTAATGATTAGTTATTGCCAGTCTTGCGCTTGGTTCCGGATTAAGCTGTAGATAAGCTTTTCCACATGCTCAACTGACGTTTTAATATTAGTTGTCACGAACTCTCGTGCTGGAGAGGGCGCTCTATATAAACATTAATCCAAGATGGCGGCGCCCATGTAATTATCGGGCCGTCGTACGATGTATACTATTACGATGATTCTGATGATAGTGTGATCGTTTTATTGATTATTGTTATTATATAAATAGTTAATTTTGTTATTTGATCTTTTAATTTGTGAGTTTTATGCGTATTTCATAATAGTTGTGATATATACACTGATTTAGGCAAATAGTTAATGATGATTTACCATGAATGCTTAGTAAAATGTCAACTTGTCTGCTTCTGACTGAAGTTTGTATTATTCAATATACTGTATGATGTGTTAATGTAATGATTATTATGGAACTAGTAAGGTATTGATTATGAGAGTTAGTCATTTTTTGTTAAGAGTGACAAGTTGGTTGCTGGATTATGCTAATATTGTTTTATGATTTATATGTTTTCTAATATGTTATAATATGAATATGTGACAGCACTGACATCACATTAAAAGTTATGATGTGTTGTTTTAATAGGAGATTCACCTGGTGTCAGCGATCCCGACAGTGATTGGCTGTATCGTGCGATATAATTACAGTGTTGATTTTGGTGTATACCATTGAGGGCATCGCAGGTATTGTGATTGTTATATGATTATTATTTCGAGGTTGAGAATTAGTAAATCTTTAATATTGAGAGACATGGTTCGAGTTGCCAGTGTCTAATTATTTGAGAGTTAATGTTGAGATGTAACATTCTTAATGTTATGAGTATGTTAGATGAGAACTGACAGATGATTTCATGTAATTATTGAGGTTAACAGAGGATTTCAATTGAGATTGATATACTGAGAGATATTGCAATTTATTATGTTCGTACCCATGAGAAGATATAATTTGACGTTACATTAGACGTGCTGTAATTTGAGATTTGCAATTTTATAATAAGAGAATATGATTTAATCTGACAGTTAATTTACCTTATGTAAAGTAGACTTGAATAATTTTGAGGCTTACCGCTCGCTACATATTGTTTTGGACTTGTAAGAGGTAACTTTGACCTACCTTACTTATTTTATTTTCTCTGTTGTTTCAGGGGTTGTTTTTGTTAGTTACAATTGATGTTGCAGTTAATAAACGTTATACAACGTATACAAGTCTTAGTTCGTTCTTTGACTCATTGACCCACGACATTATTATTATTATTATTATTATTATTATTATTATTATTATTCTGTGACAATAATACTCACCATATCATCCCCATAAAGTAAAGTTGATCCTACAGGATTTGTGAAGTCATGTGGAACCTTAGCTTTAGGACTGAACCGACTCATCAGACGACATGCGAACAGAGCCACCTCTTCATTCAGCATCACTTCCTGATATTTTCCTCCTGTGTCCAAAGCTAAAAGTACAGCAAAAACACAGTTGGTAAGATATGAGTAATGAACTGCTTTAGGGATAATACCCATTAGAGGAATTATAAAAGTAGTACACTATTTGAAATTTTAGAAAGGTGGAAACAAAAAGATTGCTTTTACCAAACTACATAATTGCAAAGGTTTGTGAATGGCGGATCTCAATAATTTTGTCTTATTGTTATAGTGGAAATTGAATACTTACAATTAACTGTAGCAAGGAAACCAGTTAATATCCTGTCATAGTGAAACTGCTTAATGAAATTCAATACAAACAAATCAATTTGATGCCACAATGGACAAATTTTGTGTCCTCTTTTGTTCGATTTTCATTAATGAATACCCACAATTTATTTTCATTACACTAACAACATGATTTATCTAGTAAGGCTGATCTTTTCGGCCTTTCAATGTCCGATAACCACATCTTATGAAGCTTGGCAAGTGCAGTTTGTTTGTTTATTCACTTATGCATAAAAAATCATGAGTTTCAGTATAGCTCAATGGATAAAAATTTTAAATTAAAATTAATCTATTGGGAAATGAAAGCAAGTTCGTTAACAATCAGTAAACTTAAACTAGCCCTAGAGTATTTGATGGGCATGGGCAACAATGGACATTTAGATAATTACTCATACTACTGAACACAACCAGAACGTACTTTAGATATTACAGTGATTTATTAAAACATGCATTCAGTGCACGCATGAGGTAAATGAAAGTTTGTGCATAAAAGATTGAATCTTATTAAATGTATATTTTATGCACAATTTTTCTTATGGAATTGCACAAATTGACATAAAATTGTTGGATAACTTGTGCTTTAAATATTATTCAACAATGGTGATAAAATATATCATTTACTGATATTATTGTGTATTAGTTAGTGAAACGACCTTCAGTTATTTCAAAATTTCTTGATGTGGAAATAAAGGAGATTAAAGAAATATGGAATTTGTAATTAGCAATGGTAAAATATGACCTAGATATTAAAAATTAAGCAAGATTTTTCCAGTTTAAAAACTGTGCACAGAATCTCAGAAACTTTCATATTGACAAACTGCCCCTAATAACTCACAAGTCTTACTGTACAACCTGCTTCTATTTTAATCAGAGAAACAGGATACAAATTTAATTCAAGCTGTATAAAACAACTCAGAATAATTCCCCTACCCCAGGGATGTAGTTATGGTGGGTGGAGGTCGGTGGGCCTTGAAGTTTTCTACCCAGTCTAAAGCTAATTTCATGGCCCTCCACCAACCTTTATTGTTTCTACTTTTTTTACGGAAGAACAACGCGCATGAATTTACTATTATGTGCGTGAGAGCTTTGAGACAAACAATTAAATAATATGGCCTCACAATTTTATATACTCATTTTCAGTAATTAAATTAGTAATACAGTCTACACATTATTACTCAGTGCGTAACAGCTCATTTTAAGTCATCTGAGCCTAAGGGCTAGGCATACAATTTAACGATCTTCTTACGATAGAAACTTGCATAATTTAGACATAGATCTCTCATCATCGTCATGAGTTTAAAATGAAAATTCATGAAAATTATTTTCCTTGGCAGGACAAAAAAACATCAAGAATGAATTTAAAACTAGACCACAAGCAAAAAAATACATCAAGAATATACAATAACAACTAAAAAAATATTTAAGGGTTTATCAAAGTCACATATAATAAAATGAAATACAAAATCTTGTCAATTTCATTTTTGTAGCATAATTGTGATTGTAATCCTAAAGTGGATAAATCTGTCCAGATTATCAAATTATATTTGATAAAAGCATGTGCTATGCCTAAATATGGTCACGATGACATCACATCATGACTATATATAGGCACACCATGACTATATATGGGCATACATGGTTTTTTTCAAAGAAAATGTGAAGATGTAGACATAGCTTCATTAGCAACTTACCCATTCTCATCACATGATCAAGTTTCTGCGAGTGCGTTAGAGGATTCCCAGTTTTACTTGATATATCAGAAGCTTCACTCACGACACCTGCACCACTATCAGACAAAGACTTGTTTTGCCGATCTGTCGGATTTGGAACATCATCATTCACTCGTGTAAAACCTGGTTTGTGGACGTATCTTGGTACCGGGCTTATCAGGCTTGACTGGCCCAACAACCTGTTCCGATGCTTGACTAAAGGTGTCACTAGATTAAGTGAAGGGGTTTCACAATCTTGATTCAAAATTTGTTTTTTTGCAAGTGTTTGACAAGGCTCTCCCCATGCAGACACAGGTAGCATTGATTTATCTTCAACTTCAGAAGTGGACGATATAGTTTTTGAGCTTTCCGTGCCTCTTGATAGTGCTGAAGTTCGAACATCATGATGAACGTAACTGCCTTCACCAGCAGGCCTAGGGTCTTTTACTTCAAGCCCACAAAGACTATCATTAGTAGCAACTTTAGAGCCAAGAGTTTGGTTTTGCACAGCGTACGACTGAGACGTTAATGGCATGGGAACGGATACCACTTCAGTATTTTCTTCAATTTGTGTATCAAATCTCTTATTGTGATATTTTGATGATGTTGGGTTATGTGGCGATTCAAACTGTAATGCCTTGCAGACACTGTGTTCTTGAATACTCTGTGTACATTGTCTTTGGAGGGCTGGATGCTGGAAAGAATTCACTGGGGCGACATGCTTAGAACAGACTGCATTACAACTCAATAGCAACTGATTCACATGATTCTTTGTCCTGCCTTCTGAGGTTATCAGATCTCTGGTTCGATTAATTTCTGCATTAGTGCCATTGTACAACTTTGATGTCACTGGAGTTGGAAGACCTAAAACTTCAGATGTGTTGGACTCCCATGTTAATGGTCTACTAACAGATCTTGATGCATGTGTCACACAAGATGTTAACGAAAGAGGATCAACCACAGAATTGGTAACAGCGTGTAAAGTACTCAACTCTGCATGTAGATCAGGAATGGCACAGTGTTCTGTTTCTGATACCATTCTTTCAGTTTTGGCAGAGAATGGGGTTTTTTGATGCAGTGGGATGACAGACTGTAATCTATCACTTGGGAATGGAGTTTTGAATATTTTATCAGGCTCATTTTGTAGCCCATGTTTTACAGGTGTTTTAATAGAAAGATCAACTGGTAAATTTTCATTCACATTAGGTGAGTTATAAAGCACTTTTGTTTGTTTTCCATTCTTGGTTAAATCCAAAGCACAATCAGCATCTCCTGTAGTCAACCCTGAAGCTGATTCCTTATTGGTCAAATGTTTAGATGAATCACATGTAACAGTTTCCTGGATTGGTTGAGTCTTCACTTGAAGATTATGAATCTCCTTTAAAAGTTGTTGCTCTAGCTCAATTACTTTCTAGAAAAGAGCACACAATATAAAAAAAAATATTTTAATATTAAAAATAGTCACATCTGGAAAACTAAAACCTTTAATAGCACTTAATTAAAACACTCAACTTGACATTTTAAAAGATCAAATAAATTAATACTGAGAGACACCTAAATAATTCAGTGATAACAAAAAAAATCTGAACAATCTAAAAACTTTGAAAACTTAATTAAAACACTAAACTAGTCATTTAAAAAGATCAAGGAAGTTAACAGACACATCAAAACAATTCAGTGTTTATCAGCTCAACACAATATTTACAAAATTAAATAGCATTTCATTAATGAAAAACGTTCCGAGTATTTGTCCTACTTCAGTCTCTCTGCGACATATTGTACATAATATATTGGAGGTTAAGTATTTTAACAGAAGATGGTGATTTAAATAACACATTTTAAATGAGCTATGTTTTATTTGAATTCAAGAAGGGTGCTTTCCCGTATTTTAATTAAATATTGATTATTTACTTAGTTCATGCTTTAGTAAATTAAGAATCATTTTTTTAAAATTTTAATTAAAATATCTTTAACACAAAATTTATTGACAAAAAGGATCGACGTTTCGTGTCCATCATGGATGCATTCTCAAGATCAAGTGAACAAAAATAAATATAAGATAGTAAACCAAGTGTAGGTGACATGAAAGGGATTAACAGTCACATGATTAAAAACTAATACAATAGCACAGTATCATGGAGCTGAAAAGAGATTATCTCTGCTAGAGTAATTAGTTAAAATTAGATAAACAACTTTGCTCTGACAGAGTCTGACTGTTTGTTAAGTGAAGGTTTTAAAATAATTAATTAAAATACACTGTAATATTGTAATTTTCATTTTAAAATTAAAAAAATAAATAGTAGAACTGCAAATTTGTTCACCAACTTAGATTTGATGGACTTTTGTTTAACAAATATATACTGTAATTGACTTATCAAACTCATTTTTACCTAGTACAATTAGACTTTCTAATATAATAAATTTTTATAGACAACTTATTTTTATACTAAATTTTTAGATTACTGCCTTTAATGAACTTGTACATAAAATTTTAACATTTAAATGTGTATATAAATCAATAAAAAATATTTACATTAAAAAATAAATTAAATTAATATTAATGGACTTATCATAGTATCCAATGCATTTTAAAATCTTTCAGACATATTCAGAAGTGTCTTTTAACACTATGGCAAACCCATATTCAGGGGAGACCCCCAAATAAGTGGACACTTATTTTCTGGTCCCAAAGGTGCCCCCTTAATAAAGGTTGTACTGTAATTGTATACAGAATCTGTCGTACGCAATGTGAATACTTCTCTGGTCCCTAGAGAGCACTCATTGACATTCATGTAATGCAACACATACCACCATCATTCCTAAACACTCATCAACTTCTTCCAGGCTGAAAACAGGCAAATGCTAAGTAGTTTTGCCAGACGCATAGCATGTCAGCATGCTCTATGTTATCAAATTGATTCATTTGATCTTGGAAGCACGTATCATTTACCAGTGTGCAGCATGCTGTCATTATATTGATGTGTCTCTTATTTGCATAAAAAATGCAAATTAAACCTCTTTCTACAAGTTTACTGTCACAAATATCTGTCATATGCCCAAATATGGACATGATGATGTCATACACCCATATATGGACATGATATCATATTACACCCACATATGGGCATGATGTCATATTACATCCTTATATGGGCATGATGTCATATTACATCCTTATATGGGCATGATGATGTCATATTACACCCATATATGGGCATGTCATATTATACCCATATACTGTATGGGCATGATGTCATATTTCACCCATATATGGGCATGATGCCATATTTCACCCATATATGGGCATGATGCCATATTACACCCATATATGGCCATGATGATGTCAAATTACACCCATATATGGGCATGATGTCATATTGCACCCATACATGGATAATTTACAAGTTTGTATCACACGAAACTTAAAGGTGTGGACAATTTGGACATCATTCCTACTTACCTGTAAATACGTTTCTGTTATTTCATCTTCAGTAGGTTTTACTGCTGTCATTGACGTCTGCTCCTCATCAAATTGAAGAGTAGTTGCCACTTTATCCTAAACAATATATTTAATAGTAACATTAAAAATATTATATAACAATTAATTAATGTAGTAAAATTGTAAACATCGTGAAAAACATTTAAAGCAGATCAGAGCGCACATTGCGCCAGTCGACTCAACAAAATTTCATGAAGCGATGAGGGGCGCGAGACTGACTGTTTTCAACAACTACCGCCAACAATCAACAGATGGTGAACAATGGTGTTGTGTTTTCAATCACTTGCACAGAGCAGAGATAAATTTATTCCTAGTACTGTATTGCATAAATAATAAGCAAAACAAACAGATTCAAATAGATTCACATCTTTACCAAGTACCTATTCATTCTTCTAAGTAAACATCCTGGTTCAGAACCTCAATTGCAAATTTTTATTCAACAGCAAAATTAGTCATGAATTTCCACTAATCAATAATTTGACAGCCTAATGTAAACCTATGTAAAAATATGTATGTAATCGATTGAACAAACCGGTCCACTTCCTTCTGTTATGCTGTTTTCATCAGGAGATTTCAGCACCTCTGCCCAGCGGACCTTTCTTGCAGAAGCCTTTACATTCAGATATAAGGTAAACACAAAAAACATATAACAATTAAATTTTTGAAAGTGATTTGCTGATTGTGGAGACTGATAAAGTTGTTATTGATGCAAAATGTAATAATTTCTTGTGGCCCGGAGGATAGCGACTTCTGCAGTGCCGTGACTTGTAATGGTCAAGGCTGTAGTGACCTCTAATGACCTGGGGTGTAGATGGTCTCAGGTTTCTGACTAAAATGGGTAGTGACAAAGGTTTAGTGAGTGGTAATGGCCCAGGGGTTAATAACTTGTAATGGCTTAATGGCACATGTGTAGTGACTGTAATGGCCCAAAGGGGGTAAGTGACTAGTAATGGCCCTGGTTGTAGTGAGTGGTAATGGCCCAGGGGCTAGTGACTAATAACAATTAATCAGGGTTTAATTAATGGGCCAGTGAATAAAGACTAGTGATCCTTGGAGGGGGGAAGGTTAGTGGCCAAGGGTACAAACTTTTTTTTTGAACAGTAAAATAACAATTTGCTCAATAAAATACAATTTCTTGATGAATTTACGGATCAATTACTTGTTATTGTTCATACCTTGTTGGCCACCCTCTGAGGAGTTGGTTTATTAACTAATGTCCTCAAAGCAGGTGAGTTACAAGATGTTTCTACTGTGTAAAGCACGGAGCTGAACTTGGGGTTAATGACACGGGAGGCCTAGAACAGAAATAGAGCAATCAATCAATTAATGTCATGAGAACATGTATAGAGTACTACCATATGGCTTATGGGAATGTGCTGAATGTATAATCATAGACATTTTACAAGGAATATAAAGGCAAAAGGTAAAGGTAGGAGAATAATCCATAACTTGTGTATGGGCGTGGTCCGTGACTACCTAGCAGCCGTAAAGAGGCGCTTATTGTAGCTACATATTCACATCAATATAAACATTACTTGACATAGAAAACTTGTGAAACTAATTTTCTTATTAGTAGGTACTGTTTATATATTTTTTAATTGTTTCCCTTAAAAAATCTTATTTCTAAACTAAATGTCTTAATCTCATCATATAAACTGCTGTATGTTCTCTGCTGGATTATGAAATACATTGGTCATGTTATGCCAGATTTCTCTAAGTCTCTGTAGTGTATGAAGGTAATATATTTTTGGAAATGAAATGATTAAGGGCTCAATCTTGTTTTGACTGACAGAGGTCAATGTCATATTCTTTCTCTTGTCATCAGACTTCAATCATTTCAAGATGATTGTTTTCCCAGTAAACTTTATTCCTTTTTAATCGTTCCAATCACGCCTGATCTGCTTAAATTTCTAGTTCCTTTGATTGTGTTTATCTATAATGACTCAATAAAATTAATTTATCACCAGAACCGTAACGTCAGTCTTTTGTGAATTTATCTGATGCCTCGGTAATAGACAAAATGGATATTCTTATGAAATGCTGTAGAGCACTAAGATAGAGAGACTTAAGTTTGAGGTTGGAATCAAGCCACCTCGACCAATCAACACCTCTGATTTGTGTAAAACCTTCGGAACAATATCCACGGTGTATATTTTTGTTGTATCTTATGTCATGAAAATGTGTTATAGTACTTACAGTTCTTGGAGTCTTTGCAATTATCTGATTCTGGTTTTTCTGCTGCAAAACTCTTGCTGGTGTTGCCAAAACTGGCTTCAGTGGGGAGGGTGTGTCTTAAAGAGACAAAAACAACAACTGAGTATTACATGCATAACAATAAAAAAAATGCAATGCAATAAAAAAAATGCAATGCAATAAAAAATGAGAAGATACATAAAATATAATAAAGACACATATTACAGGCACCTCCCTTCAGTGCTTGCATGCTTCATACATACCATACATTAAGCATTCGCCAAATGAGAACAAATGATACAGTTTTGTTAATGATTAATGAATAGGAAAACTATCAATTCTTTATATAAAACACTTAAACTCTAATAAATATTTAAAGATATAAAGTTGTGGTGAAAGCTTGAAAAAACAAATAAACAATTTTAGATTGAATGTTCGCATTTAAAGTGATCAATTATGCTATAAATTTTTAAAGAGACACTGATAAAATAAAACAATTTACTAAGAAAATGTATTAATAGCCAATTTATGGGTCAAAACAATATTGGAACAGTATAACTTAGGTATCTGATAACTGAAGAAGAAAAATTTATTTTTTCTAATTTTAAATCATTTTTGATAAACCAAATTAAGAGACACCATTTATCATTTGATTAATACTTAAATAATAATGTAATTGAATCAATAAATACAAAAATTTACTACCAAGTTTGGAGGGCAATTGCTTTCGTAGGTTAGCTTTAGTCCAACTACGATCATAGATGGACATTCGAACTGGCTGGTGATCATAAACGGACGACCTTAGATGAGCCTAGATTGAATTGGACAAGGAAAGACAATATATCATTTTCATATAATATATACACCATAGTTTAATTGTCACCAATATATACCATTATGAGTTAGTTATGACATCATCAAATTCACTTGCACGTAATTATAATGGCAAATAATGGCTCCTTCGGCCTCTATTTTGTATAAGGTCCTCAGAACTTAACTATAATTGCATATTAATGTGGAGTTAGCGCCAAGTCCAAGGAAATACAGTACTTATATGTCAGCCTTATACCATATTATTATTGCCAAGGTATCATGTACAGAACATCATTATATTACCCTGGCCTTTAAACACAAGCCTAAGCTAAGTATATTCACAGCTTCCTGGGGAGAATTCAATAATGCAGCTCGTAATTAGTATATATTAGCCTGGTTCACATCGAACTTTATCTAGATATACCCGTCTTGAAACATGATACGATAATCCCCTAATTGTGTTCGATGCCAAGTTAGAGCCAGATAAACAGCCAGCCAGTCTCAGGCCGTCGACGTCACACGGTGGAAAGGCTTGTTTAATAAGACATCTACTGTATTTTACGAGCCTCTAGTACCAAGTGGTATTCGTTCAAAAAAATTGTAAACTACTGTAGAGAAGGTGTGAGTTTCCACTACCTAACCTAGCCGACCAGTACGAACCAACGACAGTGCAGCAGCGTGTTCTATCGCAATCGAAGTAGTAGATTCTCCTCTAAATTGACCTTCGATAAAAAACGAATTATTTTAATCGCTAGCTAGCATTCTTCCATTTAACAAAATATTGTTTTAATTTTCATTAAAACGTCTGTATACTTTATGGACCTTTCTGTCCTGTTTTGTAGTTTTTAGATCGCTCAATTGTTATTTACATGCACTTCGCGAAAATCTAGCTTCGCAGTGTCAAATAAGTTGCTGACTTCCACACACTTTTTTATTTCGTCATCGTAAACATGTGCGCTCATTTTAACGACTGGCGTTGGTGGTAGTTCGTTGAAACTGAATTAATAGCTATTATAGCAGAAATGGAAAAGATTGAATTGTCAATAAATAAATACAACAAATCTGATTTTATTATTAAGAAAAATATACATTATCACTTTGAAAAACGTACGCAATCGGACTTTTTAACATTATTAGTTGGTCGATGATGCAAAGGGCAAAGGTCATTGGTACTATCGACTATTCGTAAAACGGACGTTTGCTGGGTTTTTACCCATAATATTACAAATAATTTCTGAAAACCAGACTAATGAGACTATTTCGATGCTGTTCTTAGCATTGTTAAAGTACTTCGTCATCGTAAACATGTGCGCTTATTTTAACGACTGGGTTGGTGGTAGTTCGTTGAAACTTAATTACTAGCGACTATTTTAGCAGAAATGGAAAAGATTGAACTGTCAATAAATAAATACAACAAATCTGATTGTATTATTAAGAAAAATATACATTATCACTTTGAAAAACGTACGCAATCGGACTTTTTAACGATATTACTTGGTCGATGATACAAAGGGCAAAGGTCATTGGTAATATCGACTATTCGTAAAACGGACGTTTGCTGGGATTTTACCCATAATATTACAAATAATTTCTGAAAACCAGACTAATGAGACTATTTCGATGCTGCTGTTAGCATTGTTAGAGTACGTTGCTGCCAGCCAGAATATGATAATGGTGGTACAATACAACAACGCTGGCTTAGATGCCTACATTACGTAATCGTGTCCTTGTAATCCGAACCGACTTTACCGTTAAGCAAGTTAATTTACCGTTATTCTAGTAAAGTTAAATTAAGTCACTTAACTTAAGTGACTTAATTCCTTTATCTAGCTATAATTGAGTGGTTCAGGTCGAACTTTTAACTAGTTAAGTGGATCTATATCTAGATAAAAGTTCGACGTGAACCAGGCTATTAAAAACTACTAATATACCTAATTGTATTTATAATGCAGGCTGAGGACAAATATAGTTAAAGTGCATTGTTAAAGGATACACAAAATTGGCAGCTTGAGATTCGAACCCTGAATTTATTGTTACTTAAACCTCAACAATTTTGTGGAAAAAAATTGATAGTTTAATTATTAATACCGTAAATGTTACATTAAATATTATTTATTACTTTTGCTATTGTCATCAGTATAACTATAAGTACCATTTTGGATCTATGTGCACTGTAATTGGCTGTTGAAATTCCTGCTGTTGTCTGTCTACCAATCACATTGTTGCTTGCTTGACTAACTCCAGTGTGGTTCAAGATACTGGTGAGAGCATTGGCATCGGTCTCAAATTCAATATCAAACTCTAGAAGACAAATTGGGGAAAAGAAATTCATATTTCGGTGTTTTAAATTGAGTTGCATATCAAGTTGAATTACTTATGGTGTATTGTTTCTGGAGTAGTAAGTCAATGACATCTAATCCAGAGTCAAGTACATGTAGTGCATTTTATCAAGTAGAATCAAGTCAAAGTTAGTTGCTGTAACTGTGTTGTACTGTAGGTAATTGGTTCAAATAGACTATGACAAGCTATAGGGCTACCATACAAGGGTTTGGGGAGTGTGTGTGGATTTTCAATCACTTTACTAATGCAATGCCGTTAAACTAAATTTTTTTTTAATGGTTGTGTTTATGATGGTACCTTGTTGAGATTAGGATCCAAGAGAAGAACTTTAACCATTAAACATCAGACAGAACAGAGAATTAGAAGAGATGTGTTTGAGAAAAACAGGAAAAGTGATAAATGAGTATAATTAGATGGATCATAGGTCAGACAACAAAATACTGCATACATTATATTTTACTTTAAATATTGATAAGTATGAATAAATATTCAACCCAACCTTTTTGTATATCTTTCATGGGTTGCTTTTTCTTGGTTGGTTTTGACTCCTGTTTATTTTCTTTATCATTTTCTACTTCTTTGATTATGATGGGTTTTGGTTCGCTAAACTCTGTGGTCTTGATTTCTTGAACTTGATGCTGACGAGGTCGAAGAACACAGCTGGAACTACTGGCTTTGGTATTTTTACTAACACTTCCTACACATGCAAAAATATATATAACATATGATGTATGCTTGAATTATGATAATGATGTTAATATTTACAATAACAATATCAATTGTTATTGTTAATATTAATATCATTATTATTTATATATTACTATTAATGATATAAATATTAAAAATAATATCAATTATAATATAGATGCAGGTCTCCCTCCAATTAAAACCACCTCCAAATAAAGACCACCCTTCTGCAGCCCTGTTCATCATCATTTATTCCCTCTATTTACACACCAAAGACCATGGCTTTGTGGCACAACTAAAAATTTTCCCTCCAGTTAAAGACCAGTATAAAATAAATAGTGTTAATGCCATTTATAATAATAAACTTTGTTAAATGACTTAAACATAGAATATTAGCCAATGCATATTAAAAGATGATGTTTTGTGCATACTACAGTGTCTTTTTGTATAAAGAATAACAATGTTATTATTGGGGATGTTAGTGATATTTTAATGGAAAGTTTGGTAAAACAATGTCTGGCTACCAAGAAATGTTTTACTAAGAAAATATAACAAATAACATGCAATAACTGTACATCCATTCTAAAACATTTAATGTATCATTTTTAATTTTCATCTAAATAGAGAAATCTGAAGACCATTATTTAGTGCTGGTTTTAACACACCAATGACCGTGGTTTTAGCAGACCAAAGTGAAAATGTTCTATTCATAAAGAATACTTTTAAAATACATAATGATTTTAGTGCAGTTTTTTTTTTTTCACAACTTACAGACATCAAAATAATATACATCAAATACTCTGTGTATACAGTGCTCTCTATATTGACTGATAATTTGTGTTTTTAATAGATATTTGGGTAAAACTAGTGTATGGAAACTTTCTTTCACGTTTGTGCCACACACACAACAAGTGCATTTCAACAAGGTATAGCCATGATTAATATATTGTCTTGTTCAATGACATAACCAATCAATCTAATTTCTTTTTTTTTAATGTTGTAGATTGGACAATGAGTTAGTCAACAAATATAATGAATTGTGGAATTGGATAGAAGTATTAACAAAGAACCATTAAATTATTATTTTTTTCATTAATCTTGATTGATTTCTTGTCCATGCCTTAAATGCAGAAGAAAGTCTAATTTTTTAATTATCCAGATTCTCCAATAGTGCATCCACCTATGTTAGTTTGTTTTCAAAATTATATATTCATCAGATCTTATCTTGTTAATTCCAATTATATTTGTACTTTTTGGCGTCATTTACAAAAAAGCAAGCATTAAAAAAAATAACATATGTTAATGTGACTACCTGTATACATATCACATCAAAAAAATATACAATGAAAGATGATGTTTTATGTAAACAGTGCTCTATACTGAACAGGTCTATTAATAGTTACAGTACCGTAGGATAGTGGTGTTAGTATTATAATGGAGATTTACTGTATGTGTGACTACCTAGAAATGGTTAATTAGGAATACAGATATTTAAAGACCACTTTTATTGCCGGTCTTTAATTAAAGGGATTTTAATTACAGACCAAAGTTGCTAAAGACCACTAAAACACAGGTAAAAAAAAGTTTTGAACAGTTTTTGAGGGAGAACTGTTAACAATAACAATAGCACTAAACAACAAACTATAATAATTTAAAGACAAAATTTAAAGGAAGCGCTTTGCCAAAATACACACATAGAGACAGCATGGGATACAAACCTTTGACCTCAAGGGTGGAAGCCTAATCTACAAACACTATGTCAATTTCATAAGGGCATAAGGCTACATATTTTTAATGTACTGTACAGAGGCGATTACAATCATACACATTAATTCTTACCTTTGGCAGATGGGGTTTTGCATATCTCAATGCCAACTCCATCTAGTATACTCTGCAAGGCACTATCGTCAACTACTTCTTCTTCAGGCTCGTCCAATCTGATGTCTTCCTTGTCAACATTTCCTTTAGACTTTGATGTTGGTCTACTCAGATCAAATGCTTGTATCTGGTCAATAAGAAAATAAAATATATTTCTTAATAATTATTTACACCACTGTACTGGGTGTTATCAAATAAACATAAGTCAGAGATAAATTTTTAGTAAATAGAAAAATTAAAAAATAATAACAAATACCTTTGTACAAGTCTTCTTATTGACTGCTTTGCCCTGAAAAAAGGCAGAATGCATAATGGTCAACTTTACAAAATTGTCCATATTTATTTATACAAAAGAATCTAGAAAATACAATTTTTTTAAAAAACAAATTTATCATTTTGGGCTTCAATATGAAGAAATACTATCACACTATGGTCCAATTCCATTTTTTAAAAACTCTCTTAACTTCAGATCACAATTGTTTATACAACTTTCAATCTGGATATGGATCTAAATTTGTTACACTCTGAAAACACGAATACCCACATCACATCAGATTTGAGGTTAAATTGTAATGTTATCACTTTATTTCTTGATGCATGATGCACTGTATGTTTTTTGCAACTTGAAATTTTGCCTTTTTTAAATGTTAATGTTTTTAAATTTGAAAAGCTGTACAACCAAAATTTCTTTGTATGGTTTTATATGAGGACTAATACAATTTCTTGTATTTTTCTAGCATTGATATGTATTATATTGGCTTGCCATCCCGAAAACCAGTGTAGGCCTACTGTCGATTTTTTGGTCAGTGATACTGGTTTTGAAAAGGCAAACCTCATATTGTTTTTTGATGAAACAAAGTTAATATTTAAATAAGTCAACATTTATCTTGATGTTTGAATACATTGCCATACATTATGTTGTTTTTGATGTGGTAATGTTTTCATTTGAATAAGAATACCATATTATTGTCACCGAATAAATTACTGAGTGCTAACATTATTTACCTATTATCATTATTGCCAATAAATTGGAATGTAATCTTTGTATGCTCCCAGGAAAGTATTCTTACTCATTATGACAATGCAATGCACATTGAACAATAACTATAAAACTATCCTAAAGGCCAACTCAGCCAAATACGATTTCTTGTTGCCTTGGGTCTGTGTGAGTTAAACGCAGGCGCGATGGTTGGCGTCGGAGACAGTGGCTTTCACAGTTTCACTGTATTGTAGTTAGACCCCATACTCAGCAGCAACATTTTACTACCAGTCTTTTACCTATAATAAATTAATGTAGCATTTAATTCCTCATTTTGCTACTGTAGAAAATACATTGCTGCTGTAAAACCAAGGACCACAGAAGTTTTTACTAATGGAACACTTTGCTTCGCTGAAGGCTAAGGTGGAGAGAAATGTAGATGTACAAAAGATTGTTGCCCAAAGACATAGGTGTGGGTGGCCAATGTGGACACTACTCCCACACAGATGATCAAGCTTTTAAACAATGCTGTACAGACCTTGTTGAATTTGTCCTTCCAATCCTGGTGGAGTTTCTTGAAGTCAGGAATAGCACGAGCTTTAGTTTTATGGTTGGGATTTGAATTTGCTGATTCTGTTGTTTTTGTTTGTCCTTTGGTGGTTTTCTTTGAAACTGGAATCTTGCTGCGAATGTTAATGCAACAAAAAAACAAAAACTAACGTCTTTCTCAGAAAATAATTTATCTACTGTAAATTAATTATTAATAAGTCAATGTTTCCCATAATCAGGATTTGAATAAATATTAATATATCCTGTAGATACTTTTGTTTTATTATAATTATTTAAATTCATAACAATATTTAAAATAACAAAAGTAACCCGATTTGAATAAATATTAATATACCCTTGTAGATACTCATCATTGTATTATACTTTTATTCAAAACAATATTTAAAATAATTACGAGTAGAAAAACTCTTCCTAAAAGGACAGCTGATATCCAGGTACCCTCAATAATGAAAATAAAATTCATGTAATTCAACAAAATTAATAACAGTTATAACTCTCACTACCTATAGAAGATGGGATAAGGGGGGAACCTGAGGTATATTTCTTAGAGAACACAATCAGGTATTCACATACTGTAATATTTTTTAACATCAGGATTTTTACCTTTTTCTGTGTTTTTGTGGATCTTGAACTTGACCCGTCACTTTCTTGCGTTGCCTGAAATGAACGAGAAAATTTATAATTAACAGTAATGATGGTGATATTGTTCTATGGTGGTTGAATCAGATACACGATTTAAAGTTTAGCAGTTTCATATCTAATTAGCAAAACATTTAGGCAGAATAATTGAAATGATTCCACTAGTTTCTCTGCTCTGTTCGATTTAACACCCTGTTTACGATCTACAATACCCGTAGTTGTTTATGTGAGTAAAAGTGCTTATATTTGATTAATGTGTACTGAGGCAACTGTTCCATTGTCTTTGAGTATGATAAGGAAGAAATGGTCTTTGAACATTATGTTGTTTATGGAGTCTGTCTTGTTCATGTACGGGTTGAGAGTATGTGCTCTACGACAAGGATAAGCTTATGTTAAAAATCTACAGCCATAGGACAACCACAGGAAGTATATGACCATGCAGGCTGGTCAATGCAGTACCACCATTTTTTTTTTAATTTATGGTACATTATATACTTTTAGTGTGTATTATAGTTTTAACAAAAATATTTGAAACTAAGTAAAATTGTGTTGTTTATGGAGTCTGTCTTGTTCATGTACGGGTTGAGAGTATGTGCTCTACGACAAGAATAAGCTTAATGTTAAAAATCTACAGCCATAGGACAACCACAGGAAGTATAATAATATGACCATGCAGGCTGGTCAATGGAGTACCACCAATTTTTTTTTAAATTTTTAATACATTAAATATATTTTTAGTGCGTGTTATAGTTTTAACAAAAATATTTGAAACTAAGTAAAATTGTGTTGTTTATGGAGCCTGTCTTGTTCATGTACAGTTTGAGAGTACGTGCTCTATGAAAGGTTAAGCTTGATGTTATAAATCTACAGCCATAGGACAACCACAGGAAGTATATGACCACCATGCAGGCTGGTCAATGCAGTACCACAATTCTTTTTTAGATTTATGTTAGATTATATACTTTTAGTGTGTCTTATAGTCTTACAGTTTTAACAAAAATGTTTGAAACTAAGTAAATTTCTTTGAAGATAAAAATATATATATTGTGCCATTTTAGTGGAAGTCCCACCTTAAATTATATGTTCTACCAGTATTGGTTGACATGTTGGTCAGCTTGTCCTGGGCCTACATCTGTAACAAAAAGAAAAATGAAGTTAAATTTTCATTTCAATATTATTATTATATACCACAATAAATAATACTCTGCTAACTTTTGAAAACTGCAATTGACAAAAAATGTCATGACATACGATCAGGCGCACAAGACGATCGGACCCAGGACGATTGGGCCCAACTAGTGTGGAGGATCAGGCCAACACCAAGACTATCAGGTTCACCTAGTGTGGACTTTTTGGGCCCATTTTCATTGTGATTTATTATTGTTTTCAAAGTATATTTAACATAGGCTTAGCCCAAGAACTATATGCATTTAATACCAATATTAAATATGTTATTCTTAAAAGAATAGTAATTACTAAAATGATCAAAATATGTGTATTAACTCAATTTACTCATTTCGGTATATCAAACTTCAATAAATATACAAACGACAGCCAAGGCATGGGCTCAAATGATTTTTCATAAGACGATCAAGCCCATTTCCAGACTATCGGGATAATTTTTTTCAGGACGAATCGGGCCCACTTTCAAATTGGCCTAATTGTTATGAAAATGGGCCTGACTATCTTGGTTCACTGCCCGGTCGTCTGTAATTTGAATGTCTGCTACAGTTGAGTTATGAATGTGGGTTTTTCTTTTCATAATACAAGTTTATTGTTTTTCTGTTGGGGAGAAGAATGTTTCTGATAATTTTTTTTTTTAAGTTTGGCCCTAGGCCTACATAACTGACAGCATAGACAGATGGCATTGCTTGATTGATGACCCTTCAGTTCAATGAGAAAATAGGCCTATTTTGGTATCACGACCAGTGGATAGGCCGAGCGGTGTAGCTAAACCTAGGTCTCCTGTGGCATGCTTAAGTCAAAATATGCAGTATAAGTAGTAGGCCTAGTCAGTAGTCTGTGAGGAAGACGTAGCTTAGCTAGGCTAGGCCAGGGAGTTGTTATTTCTCCCTGGCTAGGCCTAGGCCCTCCTATGCGCAGCCGACAGTCACGTCCCCGTGCGGCTTGACACGACGTGATCAGTGAGTAAGAATGAAGAACAGGCCTGGGAATCATATGTTAAAAATAGGTTTCTTGAAATTACTAAATAAATACATTGTCACAGGGTTTTAATAAATAATATCTAATATATAGGTTATCAAAGAATGCTGAAATGCAAAATCTATTTACTAATTACATATAAATGTACTTACAACATTGAATTTCCCGGTGACGCTAAGTGGACGGTTGAGGTTTTTGCAAAGTATCATCATAACAAATTTGAACCAATCACAGAATGGGGATTAAATAAAGAGGAGGACTCATAGTCATCAGCGCATGCGTGTGTATTACCGTTCATTGTTACTAAGTACTAGTACTCACAGTACTGTATAATAAATATTTTCTTTAATAAATGAGGTGGTGAAATACGGTTAGATAACGCGTTGGCGCCCCACCGCCATACAACTGAAATAAAAGGACCTTTATGTTGATGAGCTATACTTGATACGATTATTAGAACATGTTCCTATGTAAGAACTGTTATTAATATTTGGAAGAATTTCATCTAGTCTTTAGAATACTGTATAACGGTAATACAAACGTAAAATGTTGACTTTAGAAACACTAAAATTTATTGAAACGAATATTTTGGCTACTCCTGCAGCCTTTTGTTACAGTATAAAACAATATAACATTCGCGTTTATATTCAATAATATTCCACGAAGAGACTTGTCTACTATACGTTTAATTCATTATCTTAATTTATTGTTAGCTGAGGGTTAAATAATTTACAGACCCACTGTCTGAGTCTTTATAATAGAAGAAAAGAATTACTTATACTATTATTTTTATATTATTTTATTTTACTTTGTCGCCAACAGCTAGATTTCGCTTTACCTTTGTCTTTGGCAAATTACGGTACGTAATATTCTTTTGTCAAAGATTTACAGTAAGTGGAATCAGGCCTCAGGCACACCGATTTTATTGCACGCAAGAAGACGCGGCGTAAGCGGACACGCAATGCACGCGCGTTTTGCCTTGTGATTATGATGTAAGAATAAACACAGCATCCTTTTGTGCAAGGAACAGTATAGCCAAGAGACTTCTAAATGCAGCTTCATTGAATATTGTATCTACCTATAATAATCATTTTTACGACATGGGCTGTGTTTCTAGTCGAAATAATAGAAATCCCATTCTTATTTCCGAAAAGAAAAAACAGTTCGTACTAACTCGATTCATTCGGCTGCGTTTCAAAGAGGAAGTTGCCCATGAAGACATCACAGCAAAACTTTGTGAATTGGTAGGCGAGGTAGCCAAGACATTTAAGGTAAGTATAGGCATAGGCCTATCTCCTAAAAATAGAACCTAGGCCACTACCCTGATTGTAGCAATTTAGTGTGTATTGGTAGTAGGGCCTAGTCTCCTGCCCGCACTATCACATTTTATGCGACAAATAAATGTGATAATAATAATATTCTTATAGGCTATTTTGATGTAATAATAATGCCCCTAGGGCAGGAGATAGCCGGATGGTTATCAAATAGAAGGAATAAAAAAAAGGGGGCACAAGCTTTAATCTTTAATCAATGCATATATACTACCACAAATGGCCCTGACGTGCGGCAGTGAAGCCTGGACAATGACTAAAGAATGGGACTGACACTCAAAACAAGACAAAGAAGTATGGAGAGAATGATGACAGCTTACACCAGGAGACAGGAAAACGAACAGATGGATTACAGAGCAAACAAGGGTAAATGACATACCGTAATAACCACTGCAAAAAGAACCAAATGGAGATGGGCTGCACGTCTTGCATGGAGAAAGGACGATAGATGGAGTCGATTAACAAATGAATGGCAACCACATAATGGTACAAGAAAAATGGGAAGAGCAAAAGCTATGGCGAGATGTGCTGGTACAATTTTATTTTTTATTTTTAATTTTTCGCCAAGAACAAAAATGGGGTGCCGAAAAAAGCAGAAGTTAAGAAAAAAAAACTGTCATCAAGTGATGTGCTTAACCGAACTCCTGCCAACAAAGACAACAAAACGTTTACAGGAAACAATGAAAGGGAACAAGTATATCAAAAAGCTGCACAGAAAGAATACATATAAAAATTAAATTATACCTGTATAATCGTCGAAAATAAAATCAACAGCATGGACAAGATACAACGCAGATAGAAACAGATGGCACGAGTTGGAAGAGGCATTTGCCCGGCAGTGGGATGTAAACAGGCTGTAAATGATGATGATGATGATGATGATGATGATGATGGTGATGATGATGATGATGATGATAATGATGATGGTGATGATGATGATTTATTAACATAAAATTTGATAGTGGACCGAGCTAGCTTAAACCTCTCTCTTTTGTGCATCTCATCTTTATGTATAGAACTGAAAACGTCTGTTACAGGCCTAAATAAAGTAAATGAATATAAATTTGTTTGATAAAATAATTTAGATATTTGTAATATGGGTATGGGTAATTAA